AATAATCAATAATAAATTATAATAATTCATAATAAACAATCCTAAAAATTTTGAATATAAAATATGTAAATAAATATTAAAATACTAGCTGTCGTACCCGTCTTCGACGGGTTTTAGTTTCTACCAATACATTTAAGTTTCTACCAATCTGGAAAATCAGGAAATAGCTAGGGAATTTAATTTGACCGGAAAAAAATAATAATTAGTTACCATTATAGCTATTTTAGTAGGAAAATATTACTATTTGAATCAGTGATTGACTTTTTGTTATCAAATTAGTTATTTTAACCAATTCAAATGCAGAGAACAATATTTATCAATTTGTAGTACTTTAATTAATGTATTAAAAAAATTAAATTTTCCATACAGTTTTTGGAGTTATAGTAGAGTCTAATTGGAACTAATTGTATCGCAAGTAGACCCTACGTAACGACTGCTAAAACCTAACATAAGACCTAAATTTTAGGCTGAAAGTAGGGCTTAAATTTTGACTCGGGTCTGTTTCATAAATATTATACATCAATAAAAATTGAAGTAAAAAGCAATTTTTTAAAAGCGAATTAATATAATGAAACTTTTTCTTAATTTGATAGGAAAATTCCCGGTTCGGCATATTTCCAGCTTTTTACAGTTTTTCCCGTTTGGTAGATACCCAGTTAAATGTATTAGTATAAACAGAAAACTGTACGACAGCAAGTAATACAATCTATATTTATATGAACTTAAGAAACAGTATTTTCATAAAATAAGTAAATTTTTATAGCCATTTGTAGATTTATTTATGGATAAAATCAAGTAAATTTAAATTTGACAAAAAAGAGATAAACCGTGAAAAGTTTGGACAAAGCAGGGAATTTTGTTAAACAAAAATAGACACCGTGTTAACTTTTGTCTTTACATTGCTCAAAACATCTCTTAAAGTTAAATCTAGAGTTAAAATGAAAAAACGTTTTAACATGTAAGTTTTTGCCTAGTGGCATAATATGCTTGTATTGTATCACAGGTGACTTACAATTCTTGACATCCTGCGAAATCATTTTAGTCATAAAAAATTTCCATTTTCAATATTTCTGAACTTCTTGAAAATATTAGATTGATTTGATAAATAATTTTGAATTGCACTATTTTGACATCAAAATATTAATCAGAGACTCCAAAAATACTACTGAATTATACTTCATATAGTAATTAGTATCGATTTTTTGATATATTGAAAATTTTTTTATATTTCTTGTAGGATAGTATTTTTTGCAAAATTATGATAAAATCTGACTAAATAACATATAATATTTATTTTTAGAAAGTTTAAAAGCTATCCATTAAAAATTGTGAAATTTGGAAATTTTCCATTTTTCAAGTTTTTGAAAATATTTTTATATTTACATCTTAGTTGTAGAATAGTATTTTTTGAAAAATTATGCTAAAATGTGACCAAATAACATGTAATACTCAAATATAGAAAGTTTAAAAGCAATCCATAAAAAAATGTAAAATTTTGAAATTTTCGATTTTTTGAAAACATTTTTATACTTACATATTAGTTATAGGACTTTATTTTTTGCAAAGTTATGCTATAATGTGACTAAATAACATATAATACTCAAGTATATAAACTTCAAAAGCAATCCATGAAAAATAAAAAATTTTGAAATTTTCGATTTTTTGAATTTTTTGAAAAAATTGAATATCTCCCGTTCTAATTAATATTTTTTAAATCTGTAAATTTATAAACCTTCCTTGGGTCAATACCTAATAACCTACCAAGTTGGACTTAAATCGATTCACATGTTTTTGTGTGATTGGGGTACAAAGTTTTTGTGACAGACAAACATACATACATACATACATACATACATACATACATACATACATACATACATACATACATACATTAAATTTTTTAAGAACATTTTTGGAATCTCTGATGTCCATAATAACTAATCATGTTAACATTTTGAAGTTTTAAGCAATGTACAGACAGACATCTGATTTTATTAATAAGGATAATTCTACAATTTCTATAAATTTATAATGTGCGTATTAAAAGTATTATTTACAATTTAATTATAATGAAATAAGCTCGAGAGTGATTATATTTTTTGATGAAACAAAATATTCATTTAAAGTTGGTATTTAATTGTCACAAATTATTTTAAATTTCTTACCGGATTTTCAAACTCCTCCATCGTAAAGGTGCGCGATACCAATAAAAATAAAAATAGTCACTTTCTCATTGAAAAGTAATGATACCTGTACAAACTGTTTTATTTTTTATAATTTTGTTATTTAATAATTGATTTGAAATCGCTAAGAAAAAAATAAATAAATAAAAAATAAATAAAGAAAAATAAAAAATAAATAAAAAATACGTAAACAAAGTCAGTCAAAATTATTTCACGTGACGTTTACCGCCTTAGAGTTTGCGCATCTTTTCTGCGCATCATTTTCCGCGACTCGTCCACGAAAATTTCTATCAAAGTGTTACAATAATTCTACGACTATTTTCCGCTACTAGGTTTATAAAAAGTCCTTAACTTTTTTCAGAGAATTTCTGATAAAAGCGAAGAGTATTTAAAAAGTCCGTAAAGTTTTTTTTCATATCCGAGAGTCTTCAATTAGTAGCTGAAAACTTCAGCGACTAATTTTTTCCGTGCGTGCATTTCCGCTGCAACTAGGCCTATTTTTATAAAAACTTCAATATCTCCGGACCCAGTTGAGTCTCCATCAATTTTTTTTATGAAATTAAAGGTGAATTCATAAGGAATCCAAATATGCTAATAACATTTTTCTCACAGAGAAGTAAATAAACAAAAAATTGTTTAAAAATTTTTTTTAAAATTTTTTTATTTAAAAATTAATTTTTTTTAATAACTTCATTTCTATTTTAAAGTACATACTTTTACCTAAAAAATGTGAAAATTTCATAAAAATCCATAAACAATATTCCGAAATATTCAAAATTTTATAAAATTAATATTAAAATTCAAAATGGCGTATCTTCAACAATTTTGAATTTTTTTTGAAAAAATTTGGGGGAAAAAAGTCTCTTATATAGAACTATAATCCCACAAAGTTTTGCAAAAATCGGCAGACCATTTGAAAATCGTGATATTTCTGACGTGAAATGCCTCTATTTTAAAAATTATAATTTCTATAATTGTTTAGTTTAATAGAGAATATTATAAAATCTATATTTCTTTAAAAAATATATTTGTCGCATAATTGAATAAACAGTTAATATTTTTTTTATAATTATAATAACAATAACCTAATATTTATTCTAATAACAAGCATAAATAATAAATATCACGGCAAATAAAGTTTCGAAAAATAATATTTTATCTCTATTTCGTTCAATTTTGTAATAGGTCGATTTTTAATTAATTTAAATATTTTTTATAGTTAAATTAATAATTTCATTAATAAACTTGATCAGAATTAGTTTTGTTTACTTAACTAAGCAGACATTCATCTTTACTACTATGTGCAGTTCGATCGACAAAAAAAATTGAACGCTGTTTGGCAACCTTTACACGGAGAGACCCACATCTGTAAAAATTACTAAAAATGGTTGCAATGACCGGAAATAAGGGGACCTTTAGCATAATGTACTACAGAAATAGATAAATTTACAAAAGAAATAGATAAATTTGCTACATTGAAATAGCAAGTTTAAATATTTTGTGTAAGAGTTGTAAATGTAGCGAAAATTGATTATAGTTTTATCTAATTTCATTAGACAAAATCTGACAAATGAAAACATTTTCCACTAAAACCTACTATCCACACGGAAAAAAATAGTGTGCTAAAAACACATGAGCGAAACTGTTGTGTATATTGCACGCAGTGACGTAACTAGGCCCGACGAGGCCCCCCCTGCGAAATTCCCTCGAGGCCCTCTTAGTGGCGGCTGAATTCTATGAAATTAGATGTATGCGTAAAATCAAGCATCAAACAGAAAAATAAAAATGCAAGAAATGTAGGCTTATCACCATATCTCTCGCTCTCATAATTTTCTGCTTTATGCTTTCTGCAGTATGCCTCAAAGTGTTTACACCTATACGAATTTGTGATTGTAACAAAGAAAAAAACCAATATTATTTATTTAATACTTTTAATAAATAATTATTGTTAATTTAATAATAAATCTCATTACATGAACTACATTTTGAAAATATAAATTAGACCTTTTTATGACAGATAAAACATTGTTAGATTGCAACACGTCTTACTTTTAGTTTGGCAAATTTATTAATCGAAGTGGCTATTTCGCCAGATGTCGGGCGAAATAAGAAAAATTTTTTATTTTGCCCGTTGTAAAAATAAACAGTGTCGGGCGAAATAAGAGAAATATTTTATTTCGCCCGTCAGAAAAATGTATGAAAATAAACGGGCGAAATAAGAGAAATAGTTTATTTCGCCCGTTGGAAAATAAAAATTTGCTAAATTACACGGAGAGAGATTCTGTTTTAATATTTCGTATTATTTTATTAGTATTTAGTAAAACCGATTGCAATTTGGGGAAATTGCAATTCCGAAATTATCCGAGTCAAACCTCGTGGCAACATGTGCACGTTGTGTTTACACCAAAATATTTTAATTTGATGTGTCAAAATGTGTCGGAATTGGGTGAACAATTTTATTTTGTTCATTCAATAATTTTAATCGACAATGAAGATTTCCTAATTGTTGTAAAAGGCACCCTATTAAAAATTACCATATGGTTTTCCATATGGTTTTCCATTTGGTTTTCCATATGGTTTACCACATGGTTTACCACATGGTTTTCCACATGGTTTTCCACATGGGAAACCATATGGTAATTTGATATGGTTTTCCATATGGTTTTCCATATGCAAAATAATATATAAAATCATGTGGTTTTCCATTTTGGTTTCTTTTAAATGATATTACGGAAGGAATAAAAGTTGATAATTTCGATAATAATTTCATTATTAGGTATTGAAAGTAAATAAATTAAAAGGTTCTATAATGTTCACTAATGTGAAATACAATAACGACGAAAATGTAAATAATTTTCAACATTTATTAAGAATTTTACATATAAATAATTTATGTGCTTATAATTTTAACAATCTTCTAACATCTCTAATTTTTGCTGAGATATGTGTTCCAATCAGCCGCATTCTGGTCTGCCTCTTGACCCCAGTAATTTTATTTGATTTAAGTTTTTCGTAAAGTAAATCTGTGGAAAATAAAAAATATTAATAAATAACAAATTCGAATTTATGAATGAAAATCTTTTAAATTTTGAATTTTAAAATTGTTTGCATTTATTTATGTAGAGATTTCATAAATTTAGAAACGAAATGTTTAACCCCTTAGCAGTGTAGTCAAAATAAGCTTTTCGTGACACTAATGTGCAAAAAAAATTTTTTTTTAATTACTTGATATTATTATATTTTATGTTTTCGAGGTCGCTGATTTCGAATATTTGGTTAAAATTTTAAAATTCAAAATGGCGGCTTTAAAAATTTAAAAGTTTCCTGATTTGACTAAAAATGATCACTTGGGTGGTTTTTTGGGGTCGCTGATTTCGAATATCTGGTTAAAAATTTTAAAATTCAAAATGGCGGCTTTAATATGGCGACCGAAAAAATTTTAAAGTTTCCTGATTTGGCTAAAAATGCGCATTTTGGGGTTTTTGGAATCACTGAATTAGAATATTTGGTTAAAATTTTATAATTTGAAATGGCGACTTCAAGATGTCAACTAAAAATTTAAAAGTTTACGAATGTGGTTATAAATAGTTATTTGAGTCTTTTGGGGTTCATATTTTTATATATGTATATATATTATATTTTACATATATTACATTTTTATATTTGTATATATTTACACAAACTGTTTAAAACACCGCTCTTAGTCGAATCCGGAGTCACGAACTATTTAATTTAATTACTATTATTAAATTTTTTAATATAGATTGATTTTGAGCATTTTACAATGTTTTAAAACATCGGACATATTAATTCATCTGCTTTAAGTTTTAAGAACTAATTTGAAAACTTTAAATTTTTTTGGTCGCCATTTTGGAGCCGTCATTTTAAATTTTGAATTTTTGATTAAATATTTATATTTAGAGACCTCAAAAACCCCCAAATGAGCATTTTCAGCCAAATTCGTAAACTTAAAAAAATTTTTGGTCGCCATTTTTAAGCCGCCATTTTGAATTTAAAATTTTCAATAACGGATTTTGATTCAGCGACCCCGAAAACCCCCGAGTAGGCATTTTTAGCAAGATTCGTTAACTTTTATATATTTTTTTTTCGATGCCGCTATAGCGGTCATACACACTGGGGGCACGAATTATTTTTGTCTCTATAGACGTCAAACATTGTGAAGGGGTTAAATTAACTATTTTTATTAGGAAATAAAATAAAATCTTTCGAAGACATTTAAAATAATTAATGAAGTAATACTTAAAGGAATTTTTAATAGGGTAGCTAACAGCCACTCTATTATAATTTATAAATTGAATTTACCTTCCAGAAGTTTAAACTTTTCCGGCGTAAGTTCCTGTCTCTCATTGGACCCATGTGCCGTCCCGCGCAACCTAGCCTTATCTAAGCATTTATATTTTAATTTTTCATTGCCCCAAAATATTAATGAGAGGTCTCTGATGAATTTCGAGTCGTCTTTTCTCTTCATGACATCCCACAGATCCTCATGAATAAAGTAATTCAATCCTAGATGTATCTGTTAAATGTGGTAAAAAATTCAAAACCCTTTATCAAAGAAAAATCAATTGTTTTAAAATATCTTTTCTTATAAAAAAGTTACTGCAACTCCGAATGATTTATATGTAAATTTATTCAAGTAAATTATTAAAAAAATAAACTATTATAATAAACTATTATATACGAATTTTTTAAATGTCTTTTTAAAAAATACTTCAAAATAATTTTTGAATGATAAGAAACTTCATAATTATATTTCATTGAAAAACTTCCAAATAATTGCAATACAGTAAATTTTTTTACCCAAAAAATTTTTTATTTTTATTCATGGAATTTTATGAAGATATTTAAAAATAATCAAGTTTTTGAAGAAATTTGATTACAATTATAAAAATACATTTTTCTAAAATTTTAACCATAAAAAAGTAAATTAAAAATTTTAAATTTACTTTCATGTAGATTTAATTATTCACAAAAAATAATTTTTTTTATAGATACTGTAATTTTAAAAAATATGCAAGTGGAAATACAATTTTAAAAAATTCTAAGAATTACTTCTTTAAAATAATTTCTTAATATACGTCTATATTTTGTAAAGGTTATTTTCATTCTGAGTTGTCTTTATAATTTTTTAGAATTCAATTGTTTTACAAATTATGCAATTAAATTTTTTTAAACAAATTTTGAAAAATTATAATGAAATACTTTCAAAAAATAAATTATTCTCAATTAAATTATACAAAATTTTAATTATTGGAATACATTTTAATTAAATAAATTTAAGAATTAAATATTTCATAGAATAACTAATCAAAAATAAATTTTGAAATATTTGACAGGACTTATTCTTTAAAACTATAAAAATCGTATTTATAAAATTGTATTTTGTTGCAATATTTGAAAGTGAACTAGATAAGTAACATTTTTAAAAATAAATATAAAATAATTTTTTTATTATCTTTTAAATACTCACTTTATTTTCCTCGCTTTGAATAAAGCGTTCATAACTAGCTCTATGACTTTCTCTTGGTACATTTCTCTCCAAAATTTTATTTTGAAGAAAATTTGTATTATCTTTATCAATAGTGATTATAGAACGAATTTTTGGTTTCTCAATAGTTCCATATTTTTCAGGTATTTGACATTGATTAGTGTAAGGTTTTAAATCCAAATCCACTGTATCCAAATTTGAATCTGGAAAAAAAAATTTCATATAATTATTTTTTTGTAAAAGAGGTGCATATGTAAGAAAAGTAAATTGAATGATACATTCATAAATACACACAATGATTTTCAAATTCCATGTCATCTTCCGGTATTTTTGTAACATCAGATCCGAATGAATTAGAATTTCTATCTAATGGCGAGCTATTTTCACAATTCAAATCTTCTGCAAAAGAAAGATTAGTACTTAATAAAATATAAATTTATTTATAATGTATGTTTCAATAAAGAACAATTTTGTTCTATTATTATCACTCTTCAATAATAGTCAAGATTAAAATTAAGATTTATATAATTTTACGATGACTAAAAATAGGATTTTTTTTTATTTTTAAAATAAAGAACAAAACCAACATTTTAATAATGCAAAATAACAAGAATAAGAAAAATTTAAATTTTTTAATTCTTTCAAATTCTGTAAATGAAATGAAAAAATATTTTTCAAAATTTAATTATAACTATGCTTTAAATTTTATTGACAAAAAATAAATTATAAATGAGTCTAGTGATTTCTATAAGAATAAAATATACTTAAATAACCTTCTTCACTGAAATCACCGTCAAGAGGCACCCGACTATCTATAAACTGTTTTTGTTTTTCTAAAATGTTTTCATTTTGGCTGGCTCTTGCCTTTTCTTTCACTTTATCTACTACTTTTTGTACTGGCTAAAAAAAAATATTTTTTAATTAAATTATTTACATAGAATGACAAATAATTTTGAATGAAGAAATTTACTTATAAATTGATTAAAATCATGAATTTTCATTTAAAAATTTTTCAAATGCAGAAGAATTGTTAGACAACAAAAAAATGAAAACTCCTGTTTCAGTTCCAGTGATTGCCAGTGCAAGTGAGATTATTCTAATGATTTTAAAATACGCCATTGTACACACATTATCACTAACGGAAATTACTGATTTGTTTGTACTCATCAACTGCATCTTTGTCCATCACGTTATACCAAATACGCGATATTTAATCGATAAATTGTTTTTTCCGAAAAACTATATGGAGTTGCATGCGACGTGTCCAAAGTGTAATGCTTACATTGATAAGTTCACAAGAAAAAAAAGTTTTCTAATGTGTAAGATTTGTAAAAATAGGATAAACGTTAAAGATTACAAATATAAAGACTTTTTTGTTATGCTTGATGGATCATCGCAGATTTCAAAACTTTTGGAAACTAATGTTGAATATTACAATTCGGTAATAAATGAAAGACGATTTGAGAAAGGTGTAATGCGTGATATTTATGATGGTAAAATGTATCAAAAATTTTTAAAGAAGTTACATGAAGAAAATGAATATAATTACGCGAGTTTAATTTTCAATACTGATGATGCACCATTATTTGAAAGTTCCACCTACTCGATTTGGCCAATTTTTGTAATGGTAAACGAATTACCAATAAATATTCGAACAAAAGAGTTAGTATTAGTGGGGCTATGGTTTGGTAAAAGTAAACCAAATATGAACGTTTTTCTAGGTCCATTTGTTGATAGAATGAATAATCTAGCAACAAAAGGTGTACAGTGCTCAATAAATGGTGAACCAATTAATATTAAACTTTATACTCAAGTATGTTGTGTGGATTCCGTAGCTAGGGCTCCCGTTCAAGGATTCGTGCAATTTAATGGATGTTATGGATGCAATCAATGCTTACACCCAGGAGAATGGGTTCGAAATAAAAACAGATCTGCAAAAAGTATTTCAGGGAATATTAAATATCCAATACAAAGTAAAGTAGCAGAAAGCAGAAATAATGAAGACACTGTAAAACATATGGAGTTGGCGTGTAAGAGAGGAAAAGCTGTTTTTGGTGTAAAAAATGCTTCTCAATTAATAAATTTAATTAAATTCGACTTCATTTCTGGTTGCATTCCTGAAAGTATGCATTTGATTAGCGGTATAGCTAAACAGTTTGCAACAATGTGGTTTGGTAATAAGAAGAAATCCGGATTATTTTCCAAAAAGTTGATTCCAGACATTGATTCTGATTTATGCAATATTAAAGCACCAAATCAAATAGTTCGGTTAACACGCTCTTTTACTGAAAAGGAGTTTTGGAAAGCAAGGGAATGGGAGAATTGGACTTTATTTTTTAGCATACCAATTCTTCAAAAATTACTGCCGAAAAATATTATATTACATTGGGCCTTATTGGTTGAAGCTGTTTACTTATTGATGAAGGAAGAGATAACAAATTTTGAGGTGGATTTAGCTGACCAGTTGTTACATCAATTCGTTTCAGAAACGGAAATAATTTATACAAAAACTGCTATGACTTTTAACGTACACTCACTGCTTCATTTGGCTAAAAGTGTATATAATTGGGGGCCTCTTTGGGCTCATAATGCATATAGCTTTGAGTCTGGTAATGGAGAATTGTTAAAAGTTATTCATGCTGCTAAAGGGGTACATCATCAGATTTGTAGACGAATAAGCCTAAAATATACTTCTTTACTATTGACGGATATTCTAAAAGTAAACTGTTCACACTCTGTTAAAATGTTTTGTGAAAATGTTGGTAAAACGTTAGCTAAAAAGTCTCTTCAATTAAGGGGTTACGCCACCCTGAAATTTTCAAAAAAATTTATTTTTTTTTTTGCTTAATTTCAAAGTTTATATTCTAACGAATATTTTGAGATGTCGCCGAAGACAATGTCTCACTAATTACAAAAGTTATGGTCATTAGAAGTCAGCGCGGTGGGGACGCGCCGAGAGCTGCTGGAAGCAGCGACTTTCTATTTTCGAATGGTCTAGGGGGCCCTTTCATGATTTAGGAAGGGTCCTTTTCATTGTATCCCTTCCATTCTTAAATAAAAAAAATTATGGCCCAGGAATTGCTGATTAAATAGTAAATTGAAAAATTTTCAAGTTATAATACACTAAAGTTCATTTTTTTCTTCTTTTGCGTTTTTCTCGAAACCACAATTTTCGAGACGGTGTACACGATAACTCAAAAACTATTCAATCGATTGACTTGAAAATTAATATACATCTTCCTAAATAGATTTTCCACAGAGTGACGTGGGATTTTTTTGATTGAATAATTTGAAAATTTTTTATCCAATTTTTTATACGGTAATTTTAGCCAAAAAAAAATGTCAATTTTTGAAGTGCTTCCATTTGCGTAAAAAATTTTTTTTTTTAAAATGGCTTCGTCACTCTGTTCAAAATTTATCACTTTTTAAGAAAAATATTGTTTTACTTGTTTCTGACAAAAATTGAACTGCCAATCATGTACACCATCAAGGAGTGCTCCGGAAAAATTGATCCACGCCAATAGTTATATCTCCGCCATTTTTAATTAAAAACAATTTTTTTTAAATATTTATAAAGCTCAATATATGTACTAAAGCATCAATAAATGTAAAGAAGTCCTACCTGAAACAGTTTTATCAAAAAAATTCCTAAAAAACCATCCGATTTTCATGCGTTCAGGGTGGCGTAACCCCTTAAATCAAATTCGGTACTTCGGTACAACATATCCCGTAGATAAATTTTTAGTTAAAATATTATGCCTCTCTGAACAAGCTGTAATGTATAGAAAGATTGTTAAGCAGAATTGTGTATATACTTCGTCAGAGAAAAAAAATAAACGTTCCAGTAACTGTTTTGCACAATTGTATGATGGTAATTATATAAAGTTAATTAATTTTATAGTCGATCCATGCAATGAAACGGAATATACTATTGTAAAAAAAATTGAAACTAAGAACAATTTTCAAAATTCGTGTAAAATGATTCAAGAAATTGTAAACACGAATGTTGAGAATTGTGTAATATCTACAAAAAGTATTGCAAAAGTATGTGTCCACTCTGTATTAAAGAGCGGTTCTGAGTACGTATGCGCCGTTCCTAATTTACACTTCTACTGAAATTCAATTGTTAAAATAAAAATTTTTGTTAATAAATTTTATAAAAATACAGTAATTAATAATATTGAATTTTGTACTTTCACTGATAAAATTTACAAAACTCTTTAATTTATTTACTTTCAATACCTAATAATGAAATTATTATTGAAATTATCAACTTTTATTCCTTCCGTAATATCATTTAAAAGAAACCAAAATGGAAAACCACATGATTTTATATATTATTTTGCATATGGAAAACCATATGGAAAACCATATCAAATTACCATATGGTTTCCCATGTGGAAAACCATGTGGAAAACCATGTGGTAAACCATGTGGTAAACCAAATAGAAAACCATATGGAAAACCATATGGAAAACCATATGGTAATTTTTAATAGGGCATAGTCCATTGTCTTTTAAATGAGCATTTGAGAGCATTCAAAATTTACACGGAAAAAAATTAATCTCTAAATTAGAGATTTAATATGAGATTTAGGCATAAACTATCACTGGAATCGGATGTGTGATTTGAACAGATCTCTAAAACTGAAATTTAGAGTTATATCTAATCCGCATATATTATCAGTGTGAAGAATCCGTATTTTTATGCCTGAAAATGATATTAGAAATCTCAAATTTTATGATTTATCACAATTTAGAGTGAGAATTATTCAAAGAATGTATATTTTTCTTTTAGTATGAACTTATAAACAAATTCATTGACAATCATAAAAAATTGGACATTTTTTAAAGATAATATGAATTTTTTATTATTTCATTTCTTTATTTGAATCAAATTATCTCAACATCACACAATATAAACATTCTTTTTCTATTTCTTAATAAAAAAACATGGTTTGGTACAACTTTCAATATAGGTTAGGTTTACAAGTGTCAAACGAAAGTTTAACCTGAAAATACTAATAAATAAAAATATGTCCCACACGTGATAACGCGAAAAACATTCGTAAAATATGGAAAGTGAAAACTGGGAATGAAACTGCATTTAAAATATAAAATTAATACTTAAATAATTAAAATGGTTTAAATATTCTTTGACAATGATGAACTTAAAACGCAATGTAATTCACATCAGATAAGTTGTGAAATTAACAAATCTCTAAATCAGAGATGTGAATTTAATTGTGACTATAATGTCTATTTTAGACATACTTACATTCCATTGGATTTCAAATTAATATTATTTCAAGTTTAGATATTAATTTTTTTCCGTGTACGAAAATGAATTAGGACATTGGAAGGTATTTAAAAAAAATGATTTAAGATATGCTGCATTTTCTTATGCCAATAAATTAAATGATGGGTTTTTTTATATAACGAAAAATTGGATATAATTTCAATAGAAATCATTTTCCAGAAACAAACAATTTTAAAAACAGTATTATGATAAACATTTCTGAATAAAATTTTGACCCAGCATACAAAAGTATGTATTTATAATGTAAAATAAATTAAGAACTTTTTTAAACAAAATATGGAGAAAATATCACTTTCTCATAAGTTCAGAAAATTTCTCGAGTTTAGTATATAAGGAAGTTGAAAACTGTATCTCCCAATGTACAGCGTGCGTGCGTTATTGCGTTTATTTGTATTTAAGTTAAGTTTATATGTATGCGTTTATAGGTTTTAACATAGATCTCCGAAATTGTATATAGTTTGTGTTTGTATAGTATGATGTATAGTATGATGCTTGCGTTAGCTCATTGGTGTGTGTGCGAAATACTTTCGAAACGATAATTCTATCCTCCTCCTTCCTACGTCTTTTTATTTACTGTCCTTTTCGACTCACTCATAATTTTTAGTATTGACTATATTAAAGATTGAAATATATATTTTATTCTAAAATTTAAAAGAACTATTTCAATTTTTCTTATTCTTTCGATACTTTCACGGACTGCGATTTTAATATAGTCATTTTTAAAAATTATAATTCTTTTATTAAATTGTATTACAATTTTATTAATTTTTGTAAAATATATCAAGGGCTGCCTACTAATATGCAAAATATTAATTTTTAATATAAAACACGATTTCCCTAAATTGAAAAAGAATATATTAAATTCTATTGCCAATTTTAACAAATATTAATACAAAATCTCTCTCCGTGTAGAAACTGGCGAAGTAAAATAAACTAGGTTAAATAGGTGGGAATTTTGAACTAAGTAAGTGCAATCGGAAATTGAATTTATTTTTAAATTATAAGATTTATTATTTATATTTATTCTGGACAATAAAAATAAACTCCTCCTATTTTCAAAAAGCAATTTAATAATTGTTAGTTGAGTTAAATTAATATTTGAAAAATAAAACATATAATACCAACCCCCAAAGAAAAAATGGATATTTTAGACCAATAAAAATAATAAACAAACTCCTCCCATTTTCAAAATCAATTTTTCTATTTGTTGGTTGAGTTAAACAAAATGGAGAAAAAATTAATATTTAAAAAATAAATCATATAATTCCAACCCGCAAAAGGAAAAATGGATGATTTAGACCAATTAAAATAAAATTTAAACTCCTCCTTCTTAAAGAAAGGTATTTTTTCATTTGTTGGTCCAGTTGAAAAAATGGAAGAATATTTATAATTTTAAAAATATAAAATTTAACAACAACCTCTCTCAAAAAAATAGACTGCTATTAGCCAATAAAAAAAGATTCAAACTCCTCCTATTTTCAAAATCAACTTTTCTATTTGTTGGTTAAGTTAAACAAAATGGAGAAAAAATTAATATTTAAAAAATAAATCATATATTTCCAACCCCAAATGAAAAAATGAACGATTTAGACCAATTAAAATAAAACGATATGACAAAAAATTTAGATCATGTGTTAATTGTACAAAAAGAAATAAATATTTTGATTGTCAATTTCTTTCTCGAGGATTGATATTGCTGTTAATCTAAATAATATTAATAATAGGTAATATTTAAATTATTTATTTTATTATTAAATAAATTTTATTTATTTTCTACAAAGAAATAAATATAAATAATAAATCTTATAATTTAAAAATAAATTCAATTTTCGATTGCACTTACTTAGTTCAAAATTCCCACCTTTTTAACCTAGTTTATTTTACTTCGCCAGTTTCTAATTTAGCAAATTTTTATTTTCCAACGGGCGAAATAAACTATTTCTCTTATTTCGCCCGTTTATTTTCATACATTTTTCTGACGGGCGAAATAAAATATTTCTCTTATTTCGCCCGACACTGTGTATTTTTACAACGGGCGAAATACAAAATTTTTCTTATTTCGCCCGACATCTGGCGAAATAGCCACTTCGTTTATTAATCACAACATCAATATTTATTTTTTTTGCTTCCTCTCTTTCTATTGCTAATAGTGAAAGATTTTTCAATCGATTTTGACTAATTTTATTTCGTAAATGATCTTTTATAATATTATTCAACTTGCTGAAATTTCTTTCGCACGAAGTCAGAACATTAGAATAAAATAAATGCCTCTCACGCAAGCTCTCACGAC